AGCCAATTACAGTGTGGTAACCACAACATTAGCTATTCAATTTTGCACAATCCTTTTTTATTTATATTCATAATTCTATATAACATTTTGTTTGTTCTGTGAATATCAGTTTCAGTGTGTTTATATTTTGTTGACCACGTTTCCTTTTTCACTTGTCTTCCGGATTCACAGCTGCATATTTAACTAACTTAAAATAACACAAACCTTAGAATTTTTGGAGCTCTGGATCTAAGCACAAGGTTGGGCTCGTTCTCTGCTAGATTTGACCTCTGAGGAAAATCAGGTGTCTGAGACATCAGAGATAATTACCCAGTAGTTGGCACCCTCCCTCGAGTCAAGAGTCAGCTGTGCACTGCTGTGACAGGGTGTGGGCGCAAAACTCCTTTAGATAATCTGAATTTTACAGACACAACCATTGTTTGGCTTTTTGCAAGGTTATGGTTAATTGTGTAGTTTAACCAATGTGAACATTTGTTTAAATAAGTAATGAATGAAATAAGTAACGTTCAATGCTTTTCTCTTACTGTAATTACTTGTCTGTGATGTGAAACTCATGCTAGCTGTCAGAAGATAACTGATCATATTAAATTCTGTGCCACATGCATTGCTAAAGAAATAATCAGGAAGATTAACTTTGCTTATGTACATTGAAAGACTTTTGAAAATAATATGAAAGTTTTATAGCAATTACCAAGTTCCACTGCCTCCTTTGCTTGCAACTTCCAGCAGATGTTTTGCTCAAGTTAATGTGCAGAAAGAGCTCCACACACTCCACCATTTATTGATCAGGTTTGCACACAAAAAATGCAAAAGAAAATAAAACGATTTTTTTGATTAGTCGGAAAAAAAAAATCACCTTTACCCAAAAAAAAAAACAGGAGCCTTCTGGCATTGTCCAGAAATTGCTTTTTTTCTCTGTTCAGTTTGATAAGTATGAAGCACATTTCTGCCATCAAGGATAAAAAAATAATTCCTGTGCCTCTCGCTATTACGAGAAAATTATCTTGTTATTACAAAAAGGTACATTATGTTATTATTTTTTTACAAGATGGTAAAGTATCTTGTTATTTTGAAATAGCAAAGTATCTCATTATTACAATATGGTACATTAAACATAACAGTACAGATACAAATGATCATTTGAGTCTGTAAACAACATATTACATTGTGCAGTGACAGCACCTAGAAGCTACCGATAACTCAGCTGGAATTCTGGGGCAAGTGTTTGTGACAATGTCCAATGTGGTAGAATGTGCACAGCCTTTCTTTCAACTGGGGTTAGGTCATAATTAAATGACACAATCATAAGCACATGTGAACCATTATAAGCATGAGGACACTCAAACCTCTCCTTAAACAAGAAAGACGTACTGTATGTGCAATCGATTAAAACAAAGAAGTACATCCAATCGGTTCCACTGCTTAAAATTGAAGGACATTTAATGGTAGTGTAGGTACTGTATTGTATGACAATTGTGCTAGCACGTGATTATCACACAGATAGAGCATACAGTAATGTACTGTCTCATAATAACAAGATAGTCAATTTTCCTTTAACAATGGCATAATGTACGATTTCATAAAAACGTCATAATTCTAACATGAGATACATGTGAAATATTTTTTTTCTTGATGGGAGCAAGGCACCTCCATCAATGAGCAGAGGCAGCTGATCTCTCTTTTCCAGCTCAAGCTCACTCTTGATCTTTCTGCCAGGTACCTCCTCAGACCAATTCACAAACCACACACATCAACATGACATTGGATGAGGAACCTTGATTGGTGACTCCCTACAGCCTGAACAAGTAAATCCTTCAATCTTGACCTCCACAGTTCACCTTACTTCTGTGGCAGATTTAACTAGACTGAAACTTTTCATAGGCACATTTTAAATCTCTTTCTAGCTAGGTTAAATAACCCATTTCTTTTAAAACTCTATCTTTATAAAAAAAAAACGGACAGGGTGGTAACATGCATTTCAGCCTTTAATGCAAGAAAACATGCCAATACAAGCTGATATCTGGAATTGTGAGGACTGCGACTGCTCAGTGATAAAATAATTTTCATGTGCAAGCAACTGGGAACATCACTGCAATTTTAATTTTCTTATTGGATTTTGAGAGGCATTTTCATGAATTTGGTAACACAAGGCTCGGGCCAACAGGTACTCTTAGATGTCCCATAGGTATTCATAGCTCTCTAAGTGTTTTGCCAATTACTACAAAATGAAATTGAATTCTTACATGCTGAGTGACGTTCAGCTTACTAAAATATTCTTTACAATATACTCACTTTAATCAGAACGAAATCATATCCACTTCAAACACCTGTTTTTACACATTGGGCATTTATTTCAGTTAAGCAGCCACTTATTACTAAACAGGCCCTGTAATCTCCAAGGCAAAAAAAAATTATTTCGATTTTATTAATTACAGCCTTTTCCATTATTACAGATGGGATTTTTTTTTCTTTTTATATTGCCGTTGGCAGACTTACCAGGGAAGCTCAAGCCTGCTGGACTCCAGTCATTAGCATGCTGTACACTCCGCGAGCCTGGTGACATCAGTTTTAATCAAGTTTTTGGGCAGCGAGTTCAGAGAGAGGGAGGCTCTGTGTCCAACGAGCCAGCATGACATGTGTGTGTGTGAATGGCAAGTGGTCTGCTGAGAGAGCCTGGCCATATTTCACTGGTCCAGGAAGGAAACATGAGTCAGTTTCTTCCCTGCAAGGACCTGCCTAATAGGAAATTCTCTAATGCACCTTTTACAAAGGGTCTTCGGCTGTTTACTGATGTTTTATCATCTTGTTTTTCAGTATTTCTTCCCCATTTCTGAGCCATAAGGACCTTACACAAAGTGAATTATTCCCAGTATTATTGTTACAGTTTACACAGTAGCTCTATAAATACCCAAAAAGTCTGTAAAGAGAGTTATCAAAATACATGAAAGTACAATGAATTTCAAACAGTTGGAAAGGGCAGCCTATAGAAGCAAATATTAAGCTGTGAGCTATGATAAAGAGACACTGGGAATTTCTGAGTCACAGATATCCTTGGGAAGCACATTCCATAGCTAAGTCAAAATCTTCTCTGGTACAACATACTCTTTCTAAAAGAGATGACACTTCTAAAACTGGAAGCAACAGACTCCCTGCCACCTGTCTTACTCAGGTGAGAAAACATCTCTAGCCCAACTAACAAATGGGTTTTGGCCCACTCACGTATCAGGTTATATCAGATACATGCAGTATCTAACTTGCCTAATCTTTGCCTGAAGCTTTCAGCACAAACATTAAAAATGAGCTTAAAATCTGTAGCCCAAAACATATGCTTAACAGCATCCACACTTAATAATAGAGTACACAAAACATATGTACACTTTTAATGATTTTTGCACTAATACTTCATAATGAATCTTATTCCACTATTTTCTAAACTTTCCCACACCACACTGGAACAAAGAAATCCACAGTTAGTGTCACATGAAAACTAACAATCTGGCAATCTGAGATGCCGAATAAGACCCTTGAGGGCTTCAACTCATCAGTTTGTTGCTTTTGGAGTGAATCAGAACATAAGGTGAAACTGGAGAAGGTTCTTCACTCTCCCAGTGAAGTTTTTCAAAAACAGGTTAATGCTAGAGTAAAAAAAATACAAACTCAATTTTTTGCATTTCTTGTTGACACTTTAAAAGTACAGAAGCAGGACAGTCAAAAAAGAAGAAATTAGTCCTCAATAACCATGTTTTGTGGGTTTTTTTTTAATTTATATACATTCCCTAAGCAAACCTTTGAAATTCCAACATGTTTAATGTACTGTTAAACACAATGGCCTGTTTTTAAAATAATGAAGCAAGACACAACAAAATTAACATCACACACTGACGTAAACAAATAGATGTTGCAACTGTTTTAACTACTTAAAATTGTATCACAACAGTTGAAAGGAGAAATGAAAGGAGGCCATTTGGTACACTGAATGCATTTAGTTCTATTTCTCTGTAGTTCAATACTGACTACACCAGGAGCAAACCCCGCCATATGGTAATTCACCTTCAGCTTTTTGGGTGATTTAAAGTAGCCAATCAAAATTAAATTACACGTCTTTGGGAGAAAACTGGTGTACCTGGGCAAACACCTATGCAAACGTGGGGAGAACATGCAAACTCCTTAATTTCACAATCAGGCACCCCAAGCAGGAAGTACACCGAGAACACTCCAGCTGTGAAGGAGCATGCCAACAACAATCCTTCAACTGTAACGGCACAGAAAGCAGTAGCAAATCACAGTAAAACCAGATAAACTCATGGAAAAGAATGACGGACAAAATCTACCCCAAAACGTCATGAATTAACCATGGTACTAGTCTTAGGGTGCAGCATAACGTACGGTAGTATTGAAACAGCATTCTAGAAAGTAATATAAATGCAGTTCTTATTGCATTTAGGTTACGAATATTTATTTATTGTGAAAGGTGGTGAGACAAACTGGTCAGCATAAAATAAATACAAGAAAAAAGAACGTACATCGGTTTAAATCAATGAACACGGATGGGTACAGTGTATCCTACCAATGTGGAAAGCAGACGTACAGCCAAGGCAGGATTGCAACACGCACACCAGCGACCTTTCCTGGCTGCGCGTTACCTTAGTTACCAAAAGCCCCAGGTATCCACGCTCAGTCATGCTCCAGCACCAACTGCTTTTCACTGGTGTTTTTGTGCTTACATGTCGCTTTGTGCTGTACACATCTCAGTGCGTGTTTGAAAGACAAAATGTGCGCACTCTTTTGCAACGACTTTCAAAACATTATAAATTGATAGGGCGTATACGGGGACATGCGAGTACCCACTGTATTTGGGATTTTGTCCCATGCGAAACTAAGCATGTCTAAAACAAAGCACACATCTCTTTTCTGAGCGATTTATAAGCACGTTTTCCAGACTGTCGAAACCAGCACAGTGTGCCTGGATGCACCGCTTTCGGCTGGCGAGAACGCCTTACCTGTGGCAGTGCTGAATTGATCTGCCTCTGAAGGAGGTCTCTCTCGTGCACCGCCTCCTGCAGCTTCGCCTGTGTCTGGATCAGTGTTTCCTGGGTCTCCCGTAAAGATTCCAGAAGCTTGTCTCTCTCGTCCAGCATATTAACCATCAGCTGCTCGAAATTGGACTCCGAATCCGAGCCATTCTGAGAACCCCTCTGTGAGCTCATCGAGTCCCCTTCAGTGATTGTGGGCATCACTTCACACATCATCTTGCCTGTATTGTCTTTACGTTAGTCAGACGAACTGCTGTTCAATTTAAACTATCCTAATACTCCGGCACAAGGTCATAGAGAATAGGATTTGAAGCACAGCTCGCATCAATGTAGTTTCGCCCAAATGATATGGAAAAAAAACTTAAAAACTTTTACTTCAGCTGGATTGGCACGTTATTTTCAACGAAAGCGTAGTAGTAGATCATTATGCATTTATCACAAAGGTAGAATTCTCTTATTGCTATTAGTAATGCACTTCTTCTACCGACACCCGCCGGCTGCAGTTATTCTTTCTGTTACCGAAACGGACAAATACATTTTATTTTCTGCCGCATCCTCTGCCGACTCCTCCGCCATCCCCCCTCTCAAGCCAACAAACTACTCCCCCCGCTACCTCTCTCCCAAGCAGCGAGCTCAGAGCTGCAGCGGCGGCTGTCACCGCCGCTTACGAAAACAGAGCAACTGTGCTATCTGCTAAACAATTTACGCATAATTTAGCCGTGGCGCTGCTGTGGTGTTGATGGCATTTACGGAAACGGCGCACGGTGCCTCGTCGCCCGCCGAGGTTTTTTTATCCACCAAGTGATTTACGAAAAATCTGAGAAGGCGTCTACAATCATCAAAGTGTACGGTGAAACTCCCCTCATCAGCACCACAAAAATACAACCCGGCACAATGTAAGCGAAAGCCAAAGATTTATAACTTTCGCAGCGCACCCTGGCGGATTCACGTGGAATTCCCTGCTCTGAAACACATTCTCTTACAAAACTAAATTAGAATATGGAAAATAAAGCTCCAGATCAAAAGGAGAGGATTTAGGTGGTTGCATTCTGGATATTGTTCCCTGTCGATACAATGACACAGATCAGACTGCAGGGCGCAGCGCTTAACGACCAAATCAAATAAAACAATATTGGCAAATAGGTTTAGTCCACATTTTCTTTATTGAGTTTTTTGTTGTTCTGGTTTCATGCATTGTATAATTTTCCACTGTCTCCCTAATAATACAGTTTCAGCTTCTTTAGAAAAACAATCACAAATGCAAGCAGTACGAGTTCTAAGATTAATAGAACCTAATGCTAAATTAACGTGAAACTCCCAATCCATGTTTCTTTCCTAAATATCTGGTTTAGTTGCCACGCCTACCTGTTAAGATGAAGTAAATAAAATATTCTTATGAAATTAAGATAATTTAACTGCATATAATTATCACTACCGTCAGTGTTAAAATGTAAAAGGTATTTTCTCCTTTGATTTTGTTAGTATTTTATGTATAGGTATTAGCTGACTTAAATAACACAAATATTTAAAATATATATAGTTACTGTGCTGCTATAATAATTACATTGCTGTACCTTTAAGAGCCTTATCGCGATGATGTAATGCACCGAGGAAATCTCGCGCGGTTGTGTGCGAGGTTATCTTCAGTTCCATAATGGCTGAAGATCCTGGAGGGGTTGATTTCAATTTTTCCTTTATTTCTTTTCGTTTTTCCTTGTCTCTGCTTGTCGTCGCGACATGGCAGGAGCCGCAGTCACGATAACCGGCCACAGATCTCCGCCGCCATGCCCAAGAAAGGGAACAGAAAACGGCTGAAGTTCCGGGCCGAGGATGTTTGCTCGGAGTCAGGTATCTACAGAAGGAGCCGTGTAGGCCCGGGCAGCCGGTGGGTGTGTTCGTGTTGGAGGGAAAACGGATGAGATCAGCCGCACTCTAGAGAAGGGCTTCTTTATGAACTGCGAGAGTCTTCGTCTGCAGTTTGAGCCTATGGGTTCAAGTTGCTATGGGTGTTTATGATGAACTGTCATCTATTCCTGCATTGTGTGGTATCTGAGTCGTAATATCGCGTTACTTTGGCGTGTGCCGAAAGAGTCTAGTTTACACGTACACAAGTACACACGACTCCACGTATTTATGGAACCTGAATTTTTAGTCTTCATTCGACGTTAAAGTTTTTTTACAATGGCAGATTATGTTTTGACAAGTCCCTGTGCAACTCGAAAAGTATAACGAAAAGTTATATGTATAAAAAAAAGTATTTGCACTTTGTTGTGGTTACTTAAACATTCAAGACAAAAATCAATTCAGTTCAGAATACTTTATTCACCCCAGGAGAGCAATTTAAGAACATTCACTGACAGTTCACATAGACTTATTGTTAAAACGTATATGATAAGTTCCCACTTTTATGTAATTCTTGCACTTATAATTCGCTTTGGTACCGTTTTTATACCAGTTCGATGCAGATTGACCCGGCCTGTTTTCATCTGTATTTACATTGTCACTCCAGAATGTCAGTAATCGCGGGTCCTTACAGAATTTTATTTTTCTCTGCAGTTACTGTGGCTGACTATGCTAATTCCGACCCAGCCATTGTGAAGTCTGGGCGGGTGAAAAAAGCTGTTACCCATGCAATAGAAAAAGAAGGTAACACCATCTTGAGAGCACTTAGTGGTCTCCAGCTTAAATGCTTCGATCTTAATTACAGCACGCCTAAAACCGTTTAGTAAAGAGTCGAAAGTCTGGGCTACAGTTACTGAAATGAGATTTCAAAAAGCTTTTCTGCAGAATCATTGTTGAGTGAGATGCTGTTTTTTTATCAGGGATACAAAAAAAACTTGTTGTGAAAGGCACTATACAAAATAAATTGAATTGGATAAAATACTGTACAGACGTATAACTTAAATCCATTTTGAACATTTAGTAAGCATGTCATGAGATCTTAGTGAGCTTATCAGATTTAGAGAACATTCTAGCATAATGAATAAGTAGTGTAGGTTTTAGGATTGTCCTCATTGTCTGTTTCTGATGTCGGTGGAATAATTTGGCTTCATTCGATAGTATTTGCATAAAATTCAAGAATGACATGTCTGAGATGAGGTTACAGGCTCATTACCCTGGATCCCAAAAAGGATACTATTTTACTACTGGGTTTCGTAAGTTTACAATATGAACTTTTAACATCGCTGTAGATTATCAATGCTGCTTATTCCCTGCCCCTGTGTGTGGACTCTCGGCTGTGTTGCAGTGAAATTGCTTTGTGGATTGGAGGCCTCTCACGGCCCTGTACAGGAGGTGCTGTCATCCGTGGTGGGTGTGAGGGTCGAGGACTGCGAGAGCAGCGACGACCTGGACCCCGAGGGGGGCGTCGGTGAGCACAAGGGCTCCCGGAAAAAGAAAAGCAAGAGACGTAAAGGTAAGTCTCGGGGGGGCAGACAAAGCTTTGAAAATGCTGTGGCAGGCTCAGCTTTGTGCAATTCCTCTGTGCTCAGTGCAGCTGGATAGATCCATGGATAAACTTGTCAGATATTTAGGTTTATACTTGTAGTACGATTTCAAAAAAACATTAAGACTTGAACAAAAGTTATCCGATATGATTTTCACAGCTTGACCATTTATTTCTGTTTATAGAAAGCAGTGAGGCAGACGGTGGAGAGGAATATCCCATTGATATCTGGCTGCTGCTGGCTTCGTATATCCGCCCGGAAGACGTCTGTAAATTTGCTTTGATCTGCAAGAATGCTTGGACTGTCACTTGCACTGCAGCATTTTGGTTGAGATTATACAGAAGGTAAGGAGTGTTTTTTGAATCATGGTTTTTCTAGAGAGCCATACTTCCTAAGTGGTGTATGATAGTGCCTCTCAAAAACGCTCCATTTAACTAACCAGATGCCCACGGCCAAGTACTTAGATTTTTGTAAAAAGGGGGAAATATTTCAGCACTACATTAAGTAGCAGCAAAGCATGATCAAGAATGCAAAGTTTGCATCTGTATGATTTAGATCAGTGTTTCCCACTCCTGGTTTAGGACTCCCCTCTGCCATCTGGTGTTCTGTAAGATTTTAAATTGAATTCTTTGTATTTTTAAAATCAGTTAAATTCTTAAAATGTAAAATGAGATTAAAAATTAGCATTATCTCGGCACCAAAAGCTGGGTTTTGGCTTTCTTCTCACTTTGAGTTATTGTTTCAATGACTCGGCTGAATCTTTCAATAAGCCTGTGCTAGGTATACTACTGTGTTGCAAAACACTGAAATATTGGTTTTGCACAGTCTGCCAAAATGTGGATAGGCACTAATAACTTATATAGCACTTTTTGGGGGACTCAATTCAAAGTGCTTTACAGGCATTGGGGACTCCCCTCCACCACCACCCATGTCTAGCATCACCCAGATGATGTGACGGCAGCCAAATCGCACCAGTACACTCACCACACATCAGCTATCAGTGTGGAGGAGAACAGAGTGATGAGGTCATTTCATATTAGGAGGTCATGATTGATAAAGGCCAACTCTTTTTGAAAAATTCTGCGGGATTTTTAATGATCAGGGAGTGTCAGGACGTCAGTTTTATGTCTCATCTGAAGCACAGCACCATTTTTTACAGTATAATGTCACTATACTGTGACATTAGGATCCACATAGACCTCCAGGTGAGTGCGCCCTACTGGCTCCACCAGCAGCAACCTTAGTTTTCCCAGGAGGTCTCCCATCAAGGTACAGGCCAGGATCACACCTGCTTCAGTGGGATTCCAGTTGTGATAGAACTGCTGTTAAACAATTAAGTTAAATCAACAGTTTATACTTTGCATGTTTACAGTCTAGTTAAGATAAAGCAGATATTTCATTATCTGATTTTTTTTTTAGTTAATGCTCCTCTTAAATACCAGTTATTTTAGAGTATGTTGGAAAAAGCTTTGCATGTTTGCAGGGCAATATTTTAAATGAGACGAGCTAAAAGTTCAAAACAATTGTCTAAAAATTAACGAAATCCCTCATTTACAGTTTTCTCAATTGTAGTTTTTTCGAACTTGCAGAGAAATTATAAATTTGGTCAAGGTTTATCCTTAGTCAAGCCCTGCTGTTAGTTTTGTAATGTTTGCATGTGTACCTGTGAAATGCAAAAATGGGAGAAAATTCTATTGATTGTCCTGTTATCAGATACTATAACCTGGATATAGACCTGCCTGCTCGCCTGCGGCCTTACTCCATTGGGAAGATGCGGTGTCTTCGTGCTTGTGTGATTCGTTCCCTCTTCCACATGTATGAGCCTTACAGCTCACGCATTTCTAAAAGCCCTTCTCTCCCTGAGTCCACTCCTACAACTCTCCTGAATTCTAAGGTAAGATAGTGGCATCATATGTTTATTGTTTAAATAGTTTAGACACTTACATCCAATATTTAAGATGTATTTAATTTGTGGACACTATGTACAGGTCTTTAGTTCAAAATAATAGAAGTAAAAACTACCTTATTGAGTCTGCACTCATGCTCATAAAAATCTTGCAATATTGTGCATCAACGGAAAAGATAATGCAGAGGATGAGATCTCATGCATTCAATAAGTAGAGATCAGCAACCTGTTAATCTTATAGGTTATAGGCAGGTCTTATTCACTAATTACACTTTGGAAACTGATGTAAATTAATGATGATTTAAGCAAGTAATCCGTTCGATTTTAGAACTCTGGTTCTTCACAGATGAAGAGTACTCAGGTGTGGGTTGTACATAAACTTAACTGAATCACTTGCTTAACATGAGTAGCTGTGAAATTGTTTCCGATGTTTTGTAAATGGTACAGAGGTAATTGTAATGTGCTGTAATCTATGAAAACCTTGATGGATTGGCACTTTTCAGGACCAGGATTGGAAGCCACTGAAATATGAGATGGAAATGAGCTCTTAGTAAATAGGATATTGGTGGAAAAAATAACATTAGCTTGATGCTTCATAAACTGTAGCCATTAAAATATATTATGGGTTGGATTGCCATGGTAGCAACACATGATTTGTTTAGAGTAAGGTAGAGTGAAAGGAAATTGCCGGATAGTTTGACTTGGATGTCATATGGTGTGTATTGTTTGTAAATCCAGAAGCCAGCTCCATGCACCTGTGCCTTCTCTGATTGCTAGCTGAATTTAAACCTGAATTGTTTGAATGGAATTTTCGTTCTGTAGCTTTTGTTGAGTGTGTTCTTAAAAACACCTGACATGGGTTTGCTAAAAAGTAAGACAATTGTGATAAAGAATGTTTCCATTGTGTTGTAATTTGTGAATAAAACTTGATTTGAATAAAGGCCATTTTTTTCTGTTCGTTCTCAGCATTGGCAACTGAGTTGTACTTGCTAAGTAGTATAACTTTGTATGATTTTTGCATGCATGTAATTCTGTATAGTGTATATGCATTATAGTATCCAAGCAAAAATTAACTGTATACAGATTAGACCATGTTTACATCCCTAATAATAAAGCCAGCAATGTGTTTTTTTTAATATTTAATGTTTCCAAATTAGCAAGGTTTAGTAGGACAATGTTTTGTTTCTTCAAATATTGGACATTTTAATGTGACTTAAAACATTCTGTCCTGCCAAAATTCTGTTTTTCAGTGTTTGCTCTTTTGGGTCCAGAAGGTGATAGGAAATAGACAAGAACCAATGTGGGAGTTCAGTTTCAAATTCATGAAGCAGGTAAGCACCTCCAGTGTGACTGTAATAAAATCATCTTATTTTAATGTCGTGTCCTAAGTAATGTAGTTTCCATTAAATAACTATTTCATTATTCTGTTCTTTTTTTGCAATATTACAGTATTTGTTTTATTTTACAAACACAAGGTACATTGCCACGATGCCATGTGTCTTGGTAATATGAGTACCTTTCTTGATTTATTCTTGGAAAATTTTGAATGTGTTAAAACAGGTGTAGGTTCATAGTGTTCAGTTTAAAAAACCTAATAGCCAGTTCTGTTCCTGGACTTTTCCTTGATGAGCTTTGTTTACCAATAACAGATTTCAATTCAGATTGTATTCATATAATGGTATTTATATTAAGTACCAAAGACTTACGCAAGACTTAAGGTTGCTTTAGAATACATTGTCATACAGAAGTTCTTTTGTTTCAGCCTGACAAGTATAAGAATGGCTGTGGAAGTCGACTCAAGTTGCCCAGTCAGTACCAAGAGGTTCATGACAACCCTGATCATGACTGCTACCTGCTGCAAGTCACCACGCTCAACTTCATCTTCACCTCTGTTGTAATGGGCATGACCTTAACCTTGGTAAGAAATTAGGTAACATTTAGTGGTCTGAAGGAGTTCAAGTGGGTAGCTGCGTCACCATGCCTAGGCTGCAAAGGAACAAGTAAAGGTTTATTCCATGCTGAATGACACACCTGAAGAAGGGACCACAGGCGAAACGTTTTCTTTTCTTCTCTTTTTCAGCATTGAATAAACCCTTACTTGTTCATTTAAAGTGGTCTGTTTAATTGTTTTATGTTTAAAATGCAATCTTTCAGGTTTGGGGTGTAGTAGCCACTGCTGAGTAAGTTTCAACCTGATACTTCTAGTTAAAATATGATTTTTGTGGAGATTGTTGGATTACAGGCAAAGTTTCCTAAACTCATAAGCACACCAATTTCCAAAGACCACAGCCTCATCTTCACTGTGGCACCCATGCAATGAGTAATATAGGGTCATTGTAGACAGGGTGAAGCACAGAAGGCCTCTGTCATTCCTGAAGCTGCTTTAGTGACTGTGTTGGCCTGTTAGGATTCCTGCATCCTCCATATTCAAGACAGCAAGGTTCTGGCAATCAAGTCCTGACTGGCAGAACAGGAATGTCCCACCTGTTATATCTTGGTGGCTGTTTTGGTAGGCAAAGGTTGTGACAGAACAAGGCCTTTAGTCATCTTGGTCTCCATGCCATAGATTCATGTTGCATTCTATCAAGATCTATTTGAAAACTGTTATCCACAATTAAAGTTGTTACACACAGGCATCTTCTTCCCCAGGTCCTATCATTTTAAGGTGACGAGAGCAAGAATGTGATTTCTGGATGCTCCTAATTATGATCTGGCAAAGAGTTGAGGCAGCAGTGTCTTTTGGCAGCTGTAACTGAAAACGAGCAGCCCTTTTGGGCGGGGGCTTAGAAAACATAATCTGCCCCTCAGGTTTGAATAGAGCTCATCAAGACCAGATTTCTTGGTATGTGATGATACCTTGAACTCACGTTTAACCTGCTAGAGTCTGCATCCTGTATTGGTCTTTCATCTGACATCTTCTGGTTCTTAGAAAGCCGCCATCCTTAACTCTTTGGGACAGCCAAGGAAGAATAAACCGACAACTAATAAGCAGAAAACAAGTTGTTAAATACCATTATTTAATGAACTGCAGTGATACTTTATGACATGGGGAAATATCAAGTGGCCTTGATGGCAATAAACTATCCTAAGATTTGTAGATGTTCATACTATGTGCTGTTCCTGATGGTTCCTATGAAAACTGCATGTAGAGTTTTTATTTTTTTAGTTTGGTTAGGAATGAGTTGTAGGTGCTTTTGCTTCAAGTACTATAACCACGTTCATACTCGGCATCAAGAATATGCACATTAGAATAGATTAAAATAATGTGAATTATAGATGGATAGATAAGACTTTATTGATCCCAAAGGGAAATTGATGTGCTGCAAAAGGTGCTACAGTTTTGCAATATTTGTATTGGTTTGAATGTGATATCTTTTGTCATCTTTTTTTTTTCTGCAGTTTACTATTAATGTGAGTACAGATATGAGGCACCACCGTGTAAGGTTGGTGTTCCAGGATTCTCCTGTCCTAAGAGGCAAGAAGCCCCGAAACGAGCAAGGGGTACAGGTGGTGCTGGACCCCGTGCACAGCGTTCGTCTCATGGACTGGTGGCACCCCCAGTACCCCACATCTGCAAACGCTTAGTCCTCCTCCCGTTAATATACACTGCTGTCAATCACCCAGCTCCAGAACAAGGGCTTTTCTGAGAGACGCCTGAAATTGCTAAGGATCGCATTCAAGATTACCAGAGGAAAAACCCGAATAGCAGTACAGTCCATAATTTGGGATATGAAATATTGAAGCATTTAGAGGCTTTATTAAGGGATATTTATGTACTTGTTTGCTGTGAAAGTTAATAGAAATACAACAAATTGCTGCATTGTAGTTACTTGTAAATATAAAATGTTAAATCTGTTTTACTGTACATTTCACTGCCAATTTCAGAAGGGAAATTGTAGAGACAAATGACCAAGAATATTTTAGTTCTCATAATAAAACTTCATTTTTTCTCATCAATACTATGTAAATCTCCAACTTGCTTATGTAATTCATGATGAGACGAAAGAGCTTGTTTTAGAGTTAATTGAATCAGATAGTTGTTTCTTTTCTCTTTTTTCCCATGGTGGGGTGGTATTCCCTTGCCAGATCTTATTTAAATGCCTGTATTGTCTACTGCATTTTATTTTTGTATTTAGAGATCTAAAAGAAACACAGGGCCAAAATATCTTGATTTAGCATGTTATTACATCAGTTTATTCAGAGCCAGCTCCATAATGCACTTATTCTGTAACCTTCTTGAAAGGAGATTAGCAATTACATATTCAAATTTTTAACACTACAGTTTCAAATCTGGGGAGCTTGCAAGGTGTTCCAAACATTCTTAAATGCAGTTCAGTTTGAGCATTCTTTAATAAGTATTTTATTTGTTTAAATGTGCAAACGTTTTTTCAGGGCAGTAAGTCCTAATACCATTTGAAAAACCCTGTGATTCATAGTATAAAAACTGGAGCTGATCATGTTTAATTCATTTTCAGTTGATAAAGGAGTGTTCTTGTTTATTGGTCATTTTTAAATTGAGTTCCTTTTCCAAAGAGCTTGTTTAATTGTGATTGTGTTGCCGTGACCATAAGAAGGCTAGTGACGTTCTGAAATAATAAATAAACTGGTATGATTTCCTGAATCATGTTATGGATTGCTTTTCTTAACATTCACTTATTTATAATGAAATGTCTTAAAGAGCATGCAGAAGTTGAAGTAAATCACTATGGAATGTTTAACATGTCTTAATACTATAAATCCACACATTTTTCTAATAAACCATGAATATGAATTCAATACAGGCAGTACACGAGGATGAATTTGAACTCTCTGTATACATAAGCTCAAAGTTGCCCTGCTTTCAGAGATCTTGTTTAAATTTGTAGAACTCTACACTGCATATCTTTATTATATCGTAACAGATTAACATAAGGGTTTGGATTAAATAGTTTAATTCTGACCGGGGTGTCAACTGGACTGAAGTACTGCTTAACTATGAAAATTGAATTACATTCAGTAGATGGATTTGTTTGTTAATGAAATTAGATTATTTGGGAGCATTAAGAGGGACTTTAAAGCTTCCTTTGAAGGCATTATCAAATATTCTGAATGGGTTAGGATAGTTGTACACACATTTAGCAAGATTTGTAGATTTAATCCTGTAACTGATAAAGCCACAAGGTGGTGCTATTTTTATTTGACTTCAAGCTGATTTTTTAGCTGTTCCTTACCATTGATCTTTAAAGTATTTTTTAATAAAGTGCAAACGCACCTAGAAATTTACCAGAACACTTACTCTAATTGTATTTCATAACCAAGGAGATGCCCCTTTAAAAATTGCACTTTTCAGCATTTTTAATTTTGTATGCTTCACTATACTGTTTTATTTGAAGGAGTGGAGAGAGCAACACTGTGGCTTATTTTTGCCTTACTTTCATGGAGTTTAAATTTGTAATGAAATAACCAACCAATATGCCTTTGGAGGCAGAGCAAGAAAACCACGTTAACACAGGCAGAACCTCAGGAAATGAGCCCATTGTGAGGCAGTAATGCTAACCTCTGCACTACTGTGTCATTCCTTATTTTCCTTTCACCTTCCAAACCCATGCTGGCTAGGTTCAGGATTGTTGATAACTTAAACTTAGCTGTTTAGCTGTTAGCTGAAGGGGAAGTGAGGGTCAGCACTGTCATCATCATAAATCTTTCACTTCAGTTTCCATATTTAGAGCTTTCCTGTGACAACAGTATCACAGAGATCCTAGAACACTTGCTCCAGTGTTTCTGGTGTTTCCTGAGTTTGATTCAAGTCATTTCCAGATACTATCTTCATAATGAATCAAGGCTGCAGAGCATAAACACAACACAATCCCTCAGCACACATAATTTTAAAATAACGCTACTGATCCAAATCTATTGAAATGAGGGGCATTTGGTTTAATGATTAGTGTAGTAATTTAAAGAATCTAGTTGAGATAATTGTTGTATTGTTGCCCAGACATGAAAGGTAACTTAAGAAAAAATAAATATGATGTCCTAGCTCAAAATGCTTTTATATCACCAACATGCTCCTGATACATAATTTTGCCTTGTGTGATGTATTCCAACAAAATGCATGAATATATAGATTTGAATGTAGGATTTAAGGTATACAGAATGTTACAAATGTACAATATTTTGGTTAGACCTCATTTAGTATATTGTGATCAGTTTTGATCACCCCACTCAAAAGACAATAGAGGATCAACAGCAGTGCTCCATCTGGTATTAAAGCCCACAACTTCCCAGTTACTAGTCCAGAGACCTACTCCTTCACAATAACTATAAGTAAAATAATACAACATTATTTGTCAAAATGCACCACACTGTAATCATGCTCAGTGCCCTAGAGTTACAAGGCAGTAATGCACAGCACTATGCTGCTGTATGAAGATCTTGCTCACTGGCTGCGTGTTCAGCCAGTTATGTCTCTGATTGTGAAGTTGGAGATCAAAGGATTTTTCACCTGGTGCTAAAAATCAATTTCAGCACATGTTCGAAAGTAATTTTCCTATCAAGAACAGCCATTATAATCGTTTTATAACAGAGCAAGTCAGCTTATCTCTGACTCTGTGACTATATAAAACAAGGTTGAATTAACTCATGTTAATTAACAAAACAGTCTTATTGTCCTTTACTTTATTACACCTGTCTGTGTGAAAAGTGTTGTGGAAATGTTTCATATTTACCACTTAGATTTACCTTCAGATATACAGTACATGGGATTAAATCACGTTTGCTGTAATAATGATACGCAAATGTCTCATAGCACCTGGGACTATATGAATTATGTTTTACTGCTTTATTGCTGAAAGGAAATAGGGCACAATAAAAGGTAACTAATCAGAGAAGTGCTACTAAAATTGGCAAATATCTGACTCACCTTGCTGCAAAGCTATTGTAACACTCTGGGAAACGAGCAATACAATGCCAGTTTCTTTGGCAAATCAAACCAGAACTGTGTAATATTTCCAAAGAGTGACTGAAAAAAACAGTAAATCAAAAATGTTAGGAATTTTCTAATTCCTCAGAGTAGTTAGTATATTTAACACCCCTAGTGCAACTGCAGCCATTGTTCCTTGCCCCCGGGGTAGTGCACTAGGCTCTAGCTAACAGCTTTTAGTCTGCTATTAGGTAACTTTACCACTGGTGATGTGTTGGTGCAACAGTAGTTTTGCCCAGTATGACAGGAACTCAGGTTCAGACACTCAGTGTCTGAGGATTGAAGCTACTGTGCCATGTGTGGGATTATGACTGAACTACACTGTATTGTGTATGATGGCATTCATGACAGAACTCTGGGATGCTTAAGAAAGAAGATACAGTCCATTTAGCCTATTCCAGACTGTGATTCCACCTTCCTGCAGGAATTTTTTTCTAAAATGTTTGCCAATATTGTAGCTAGACGATTTTTTGTGGGTTTCAAATTTAACCCTTTCAGTTCATCCACTTCCAAACACTGTGCAAAGAAACTTCTCCTGTTCTCTGACATGAAGGTTCCTCCACAATTAGTGCTTGTGTTCAGGGATCTTCTTATCATTGCTAATCTGGAACATATCCACTTGTTTGACTTTTATGGCTTTGAATAAGATTTTGTTCCTTTAACCTGTCCACGTAGGACATTTCTTTCAGTTGAGGAATTGGTCTGGTTTCTCTTTTGTAATGCTTCAAGCAACAATATCACTTGCAAAAATGTGTAAAAAAATTACCTTAGAAATATGATTTCTGTCATGTCTGATGTTGAGTGCCTGATTCATGCATTTATAACATCATGGCTTGATTTTTGCCACACTTTACTCTATGGGGTCCCTAACTCTCTTCTCAATAAGTTCCAGTATATTAAAAACTCTGCAGCTAGATGAGTAACCCACACCAGACCTTGGCAGCATACGTATCACTTCTACACTTAAGTCTCTACATTGGTTGCATATAAAGCCACATATTCGATATAAGATCTTGTTACTGCCTTTCAAGGCTTTAAACAATCTGGCTCCATCATATATCTCTGTACTCCTCCATGTTTATACTCCCTCCCATAGTCTCCAGTCACTTGAGGCTGGTCCTCCGATCACTGTACCTAAGACTACATTTTGGATTTCTGGAGACTGCCTTTTCCATTGCTGCTCCAGTGTTATGGAATAACTTTCATTCAGACTCTCTTCAAATCCAAACTTCTCCTTTTTTCCAATATCTTTGTCTAATTGCCCTACATTCCATGTGTATAAACCTGTATACTTGTGTTTATTTCTACTGTACATTGGGTTTGGAAGGATGCTTTATAAACATTATTATTACCATTGATTAAGGTATGTCACTCCAGTCTTCAAATTTTAATTCTGTGAGTATACATCTAAGTTGTTGTAGATAAATGCATTAGTCATTTAAACTTATTTGAGCACAAAAAAACTCTTCTGCAAGAAGTCCTGTTCTGTTCCTGGGGGGAAAAGGCCATGTATACAATGCATATACAATATGTATAAGATAGAAATGACAACAATAAATATTGTGATTAAACAAAAACGGAGTAGAACCTGAACCCATTTTCCAAATAACTGTTTTTTACTCTTCTTCTGTGGCAATCATAACTGGACAATAATTCTTCCTCTGACACACAAACAGTGGGCTGGTCTGAGCCCCCTGTGACTGCTTATGATCTTTTCACCACACAACACAACTCCAGCACCCGACTAGCAATGATTAACACAGATCTCTCCCGATAATCCCTCAGGGATGCGCATCTGAATTAAGAGACCAGGCTGAACTGTTTGTTGAGCGTTATGAGAACAATAACCATAAACTGCAAGTCCCAGCTGCAGCAGTAACAGCAGTGCCAGATGCTGGGTGTCAGAGTGTGTAACCCACTGATTCAGGTATGACCGACCAGGGGCATTGGATGGTAATGCTGCAGAGAGTCTTCTACCCGGTTCTAGCTATAGTGGGCATTCCCTGTAAGTATGACGATTTCTGCTTCTGTCTCCTCTGGCTTTCACAGACGGATGGGTAGATATCTTGCAAGAAACACTTTGCAGGGTTTTTTAAGAGCAAGAATTTTGCCATGCTAGAAATTCTAACTAATTAAAAGTCTAGAGACTTTTAATTCCACTTTGTGCATGTACATATCTGCTTTCTAGCATTGTGAAACAACAAGACCTAATTCATCTTCACATTCCAAGATATACAGGCAGATGGATGGGTATACCATCTAATTTGAATGGGTCTCTGTCTACAGTTTCTTAGATTTCCTTAGATTGTATGTTCAATGTTGTTTATTGTTTTTTCAGGGAAAAGAATATTACATGGTACCATATACCATAATGAAAAAATGTGAACAATCATCACGGCATGAAATACATGGTACCTAACCCAAAATATATTTATGGATATGTTTGAGCAGTTATCTTCGGCTATGCATATGCTGACACCTATAGTTGCACTTATACTAAAGAGGAAAATAACTACTTTTATAAATGAGTGTTTTTTAATCATTCGGACCTTGTGTACAACCCATAAATAATATTTTCCCTCTTATTCTTTTATACTGTGCATTTCAATCTCCCCTGAAACCCTCCACATATAAGTACAGTGTGTGTGTATAAAAAAATGTTTCTCAGGCTGGTGCTGTAGTACCATAATGAGATCACCAGTGGTACTACTGTATCTCTCCATCATTCTACTACTGCTTGGCTGTTTATTTAATTTGTACTTGTGGATGTAGGTATAACTACATGGGATAAAACATTCACATCTTCTACCCCCCAGGCTGTACAGAAATTATGCCAGCAGTGTAAAGCAAACTGCAAGTTATTATTTGGTCAATTATTTGTTTATATATATATATTCCATTTTCTTCGTGTTCATCTATGAGGTATCGATAGTCCTGTTCAAACAATAAACAGTACAAATTTATTCATGATTCAACTGGCATAGAGCATATTAGTAGTAAGTAAATCTGAACAATATAACTTTAATTTTGTCCTGTTTAAATCAGGTTCCCTAAAGAGTGTAAATCCTAATTAGTCAATACCTGGCTGTTAAAAGATCCCATAACCTATGAATATTGCCCTTTTCATCTGTGCCTTAAACATTTTTCCTGTATTTATTTTTTCTTAGAGACTAATTTATACTTCAAGAGTATCAGACTCTACTGTTTTACAAATACTCCATTACAATTTCTCAAGTGTCAGGAAATTCTGTGTTTCATAGCAGTTCTTTACAGGATAAATTAGGAGAGAAGCCTGTTGAACCCTTCTTGTACACCTTACATTGTTCTTCATATTCAAATGACTTTCGATGTGAGTTATTAGTGTGGTATGGTAAAGGAAACGTTAACACAGACACTCCCAAAACACTTCTGAACATGTCTTGTCCAGAAGCCGGATTAGGGTAGGTCCTCTGTATTTTTAACCTGTTATTAAACATGCAATAAACTTATTGAACCAAAACCTCTCACTAGCTTCTTTGGTACAGTCCTTTATTGAACAGTAAAGAAGCCATTTCAATTGGATGGATGCTCTGACTATTTTCTCTCTGTTGATACATTACCTTATTTAACTTTAATCATTTCTTATATTTAATATCATTCACTCCTTTAATCTTACTACCTATGTTATCAAAGACAAAAAAAACAAAATCAGGGGGCCTTAGATATCTCAGTTTTCCAACATCTGGACATCTGAATGAACTTCATAATCTGAACATGTGTATGTAACCATCAGAAGGGAGGATCAGACTCTTCTTGTCAGTCTAAAATTATGTGTTGCAGTAATTCAAATGAGCATATTGCCTGAGTTAAGAATACTTCCTTTAAATCCATGGTTTTCGTACTGTACATCAAATTGTTTATTTAGCTAATCAAAGCAGTAAACAGATGTGTCTGAGCCAACAGAAAGTGAAAAATTAAAAAGGCACAGAAAACAGAGCATGCCCACATTGCAAAACAATGTTCCAGTCAGCTACATTCATCCCTTTTTGTTTTTGAAGGTCCACTATCCGCAGTTCAGGCTGATGATCTTGGACACAATTTGCATTATTTTGTTCTATTTCAGTCACGCCAGAAATTTTGCTTAACTGGTAATCTCTCATCTCTGGAACCATCTTAACTCTCATCTCATACATTCTTTGGGTCACTTCTTTGCAAAAACAAAAAAAGCTTTGTAGAAATACAAGATAATACAGAATTCGCTGATGTCATAATTACATAATACAGGAAAGGAACCTTTCTCAACAAAAACGGTGATATTAGATGACAATCAAATAATTTTAACATTTCCACACATCTTCCAATTGGTAATAAACTAGGAATAACAACACCCATGAATTATGCATATCGATTGAGTATTTTAGTCACAGTAAATTTGGCTTAACCTGCTTGGATGAGGGCCAAACTCCTGGCCATAGGACGAAGAGCCTGGGACCCTCCTGTAGAGTGAAGAGTGACCAAGGAGCAGCTGTGCAGCTGGAGATTGGTTGGAGGAGGGAGGCAAAAGACATTTGCGTAGAAGAGAATGGGGGTATTATGTGATGAAATGACGTCAGAAATGATTACGAACTACTAACAGCCGAGGCTGATTGAACATAGCTGTTGACATCACACCTGAATGTTCGTTATAAGCTCCACAGCAATTCCACAAATAACAGACTATAAGTGCTTTGTAAAAATAAAAGCGCTAAGTTTTGAAATCTCATTGCCTGCATTGCTCATCCTTGTGCATGAATTCTTTAATGTCCTTCTTAATATGATTTTAGATTTTTTAACACTTTCTAATTATTAAAAAATAAACAACAAGAAAAACAACACAACAAGAGATCTAAAAAGGTGGAGCTAACAAGAGAGAAACATGCTGAAGCGACAGGGCTAGTTAAACAAATTTTGAACATATGAGGAAGCTTCTGACAATACTGCTATAGTTCTGTTAGGCAACCAGGCATGGTACAGTACAAGTATATTCCAACGTCCACACAATTTCATAATATACATTTTAGGCCGCAGTTAGACCACAAATTCTATACCTGGAGATGGATAGTAATTACGGAATCGCCACCGAGAAGCATCAGTTTTGAACTAAATTGTCATGATTAAACATAATGGAGCATCAAAGAGGATTTATTAAACCTGGTCGGCATTAAATACTGCTTGCTGTCTCCCTTATTCCATTTTGGACAATAAATCAACACCAGCTGTCCTATTCCTGGATGCTGAGACGGCATCTTGGTTGGCTTTAGATCATACAAAGTTAGGGACATGATTCATTGGAATGTTAAAATGGTTATACTCAACTCCTTCAGCAAATTGCTCCCAACCTCCGAGAGCTCCTCATATCCATAGGGCTTCCTTCTGTCTTTAGTGTTGTTTTTCATTTTACTTGAACCCGTGACACAAATCACCATGTCAACAAAATGCAGCATCACATTTCTCTCTATACCGATGATATCTTATTATTTTTTTTTACATCTCCTGTCCTCGCCCGCCATTTCCTACAATTTTAGCAAGCATTCGGAGTATGAACTTAATGGTTTGATTTGGCCCTGCTTCCCCTGAACACCACCCTGAAGAATGCTTTTGATGGAGATGATATTTTTTGCTTAAAATCCAGCATGATCCCTGTGGGCAAAGAACTTCTACTTCACCCTTTGTGCAAAATCTTGAATGAAAGAAACAGAACAATGAGATTGTTTTCAACTCTCTATTCTTATCTGTTTAGATCATCTGAGAAACCACTGGTGACAAGTGCTTTTTCTAAAAGAGACTCTCCACCAGCTAATAAATACTTGCCAAACAGTGACGCAAGACTTTCTATTGTGCTTCACAAAACTCATGATCACAAGACAAATCACGTCAAGTATATTTGTGGGGGTGCGGTGCATGACAGATATTGGGATTGATTTCTTTGTTAGATTGTAACACGTGCTTTCCAATTAAATGTGAATGTTTTCTCTGTTGAAAGAATTAGGAACGTTGGTGAAATGGAAATAATTTAACAGCATGTTTGCCGTGCATTTGATGCAAGACGATTGTGTGTTCATTATTATCAAGGACCCAACAATTCTGTTTTAGGTACAATCAATCTGAAATTTATAAAGAATAAGATTTCAAAAATCCAACACAAAAAACAAATAAGTGTATGATAAGATGATTTTTAAAACCATTTTTATATCACACACTACCAATCTGAAAAAGCAGATGTCTCAGTGCCCCCCCCGAGTCTTTCTCGAACACTGACTTCTTCTGAGGGATCATTCCCAGCTTCAACCATAAAACCACCATATTGGCAGCTTATTTAGACAAACTATTACACAGTAGGATTATTGGTGATAGCACATAAATGCACGAAAATGTGATCTCATAACATGTCAGATAGCAGACAATGTAAATACACATTTTGTCAAGGTTTGATTATATGTTTTGTTTTTATTTTCAAGCTCTAAAAAAGGTGTCACTTCTCAAATGACTTTTCCTTCCTCTTTTCAGCAAATGTTGTGACCTTCCTCATTTTCTGGAAGAGAAATTGCATGCTGTCCAAATCCAGCACCTACTATTTGATGGCCATCTCGGTGGCTGACACCCTGGTGCTTATTTTTATCGTGGTGCTGGAGATCACGCTGAAGTACCACACCGTTGAGCCCTACTGGAGCTGGGACCCCTGGTGCAGCCTGAGGGACATCTTCAATTACGGTGCTCACAATGCTTCCACATGGCTAGTTGTGTCCTTCACAGTGGAGCGCTTTGTGGCCATCAACACCCTGAGCCTCAAGACAAAGCTGTGCACCCCAAGGTGTGCCATTATTGTCATTATCACCGTCTATTCCTGCAGCCACTTGTTTGCCATTCCCTACTACTGGTCCAATAAGTCCAGCTTCAATGAGAGTGACCATGAAATGCTCTGGGCTTGCGTTTACAACCAAGAGGCTACAGATTTTTATGTCCACACCTTGGTGTGGTCCCAAACCGCCTTGGTGTACATTCTCCCCTTCATCATCATCTTCTCCCTGAATGGGCTGACCCTCCGTCAAATTGTCCACAGTAACAAGGTCCACAATGACCCCAATTTGCCCCACAAATGTGCCATCTATTTCCGCTCCAAAAAGAGAAAGTCAATGGTTCTCCTCATCACAGTTTCCATGACCTTCGCCCTGCTCTCTGTCACTCGCTTCATCACCCAGATAATCCTGCGGACAGCCTTTTATGGTGTGAACCGCAACGACTACTCTATCCCCATCAATGTGGCTGCTGACATTGGCACCATGCTGGGCCTCAGCAATGCTGCTGTGAACATGTACCTGTACGCTTGCACACAGTCAAAGTTCCGCAGGGAGCTGGTCTCCTGCATCAAACTCACTATCTCATCCTGTAAGACTTGCAAGCCATTGCAAAATGACTATCCCTCTGTGATCCTCCAGCTTTAACAGAACCAGGCGAGGGAGTGATGTTATATCACAGCAATGCCTCCAAAGGTATAATTGGTGCTGCAAATCATTTCTGGGATACATACTGTTAAAGGAAAGGGGAACATACCTAAGCAGATATTTAGTACTATAAGTAAAAGTACAAAAACACCACTTTGCATGAGGTCAAGAATGATGAAATCTATAAACGTTACAGCACAACTACTAGGGATGTTTCTCAAGGTAACCTCCTGCAACCCACCATCTTAAAAACATTCAGATTAAAACCTCAAGCGGGTAGTTGTTTTAAATTTGATGCACAAGACACAGAGAAAGTGAGACAGTAGCAGATCCACGTGAAATCAGCAGTTAATAAGGTGCTAAAACTCACTGCTGCCTTTGGAAAAGTTAGGATCCAAAATCCGCTGAAGACAGTTGTTAAAATGTATTTGTACCACTGTTTCTGCTGTTGTTGTGCAAATGTAACTAAACTGCTTACTCTTTGCTAGTCTGAGTTTTTTTTTTGGGGGGGAGGGGGGATTTTCTGTTACGTTGATGACAGTTGTATGGCAGAATCTGTTGTTTGGCAACAGCTATATTTCGACTCTAGGTTGAAATTTCTTTGCCCTACTCAAGCTTTTAATATGGGGCATTTTATTTAAATGCAGTTTAAAAAATCTGATAATGTCCATCAACTATCTTTCGTTTTAATGTCTTACGCTGCCAAGAAGCAAAACTGAGTTTGTTTACTACTCAAAGTCAAAGTAAATCGGTTATTATTAAAAATGCAAAGATGAAAATGTTAAAAATCTAGTATTAAAAAAGGAAGCATTAATTATCTGTGGGATTTCCACTGCATTATCCCTATTGCCTTGATACTGAGATTAAGAAAGAGTAATAATATTTATTTCTTCTCAAGTGTATTTTCAAACGTACAGTAAAAAGCTGGATGAGAGAGATGCAAAAATACACGCCTGGAATGCCCAGGCAGTAATAAAGCACACAACATCAGAATATGTTTTGGTCATTTCACGGACTGAGTGTTTTTAAAGGTTTTTGCATTAAACACAGAACAGCATATGGATCATCTGTTTATTATTATTGCTGTTGCTATTAAACACCGCTAATAGCTGGGCAAAGTTAACCCTTATCCAAATAAGAAACCACAAGTATACATTATCTGGGTAAGACACTCCGAGTGTCACGCCCTCTGCCTACCACATTCTCACACGGAAACGCACCCGTGCTACTCTCCAACTCTGAACACTTCTGCCAAACGACACCGCTTCTGCAAATCAGTCAACCACGACACTCCATCAATCAACGCACTGTCTTCCTTGCACAATACTCAAACCCTTCAGAACCGTCTACTCTGCGTCCGGTATTGGTCGTTTTTTTTTGGAGTTCCTACTCTGTCTTAGTTACGAACCTCGGAACTTTCCTTCGAGTGTGTCTACTGTCTTGCCCTCTTGGATTGGAAGCCTTCTCGCTGACCTACACCTTTTAATAATAATAATAATAATAATTGCGTACATTTATATAGCGCTTTTCTGGACACTCCACTCAAAGCGCTTTACAGGTAATGGGTACTCCCCTCCACCACCACCAATGTGCAGCATCCACCTGGATCTTTTGAATCACGGAACTGCCTTTTAACGTTACCTTCTGTCTTATCCTCTTGGAAACCTTCTCGCCTACCTTTCGTTACTCGACTCGGACCTTGCCTCTCGCCAAGCCCTCATTCCTTCCGGGAACTTTACCCTCGTAAATTGGAGTGATTTTTTTTTCAGAAACTATCACGAAATGTCCCTTTTAGGACAACACATTGAACCTTGCTTAATATAGAAGGACGTTCGTCGCACTCTTGGTTACCACACTTGTAACAGCCTGAGAAAATGACCTTAAGGCCGAGGTTTGTTTTGCTGTAGTTAATTTAGTCTTTTAATAACGACACCATGATAGCCAATCAGATACCCGTGTTCAGATAGGCAGGCAAATTTTGTGGTTTTATTCTCTTCCTACATTACTTTTTTTCCTCCCAAAAGCTACTTCCGCCTATTGGCATCAGGGTACCGACACTTAAAATAAACGGATTAAACTGTCGAAGCTGGGCTGTGCGACACATAACCTCATGTTATTACATCAATGGCCTCAAAGGAGCAACCGGCTCCTTTGGGTTTAAAGGGTATGGGATTAGTTTTCATCGCTTGACGATCCAAGCGGAACTTCCAAAATTTAACCTAGAGGTGAGTGAACCGCTGTACGTTTCTGCCTTGAAAATATGCCTTGATCAGTTCGAGATTAACATTAAATTTGCGTAGGTTCCGTTCTCTTATGTAAAGATTTAAAAAGACGCAAATTGACGTCATGTGGATATAAAGACGGTTTAAATGTTTCTTTAATTAATTTATGGAGATAACGACATGGGTAAGGTCAAGTTAATGAGCACGCCACAGTGGTACTTTCTGGTTATTCATCCAACATTAATGTAGTCTGTATGTAAACGGATGGTTTCCGTTTTTATGTTTTACATGTTCAAGTATGGAACGGTTTTACTGTACAAACCGGTTAAACAAGAACAGCGTAAAGTTACCTTGAAACGCGTCATATTAATAACTAGCTGTGTACCGGTGTAGTACATTCGCGCAGTCTCATCGAGTTCAATTTGTCCTAACATTCCGTTTAGTGTTAAAGCACGTGGTTTTATCATTTAAATAAAATATAGAAAACACTTCAGATGCCCCTCGTCCTACTAGATTCAGCTGGCTTGCATCTTACGCAAAACACGAATTCGGTTGATTTTTAAAACTAACGTTACATCCAATTTTTATTGCTGTGGTTTTAAATGAACTATTTTGTGCATAGTAAAGTACAGTACTTCGCTTCTAAAATGTCTGTCTTCTGTGAGTGACAATGATGCACTGAAAGTGATTAGATAACGGGAGGCAATAAATAATAAATGAAAGCAACTCCAATATTTTGTTTTGCTAAGCGGAAGAAGCGAAACAAAACGCGCAGTTAGTTCAGGTGGAAATAATATGAATAGAGTACTGGCTGTAGAGAAAGTTGAAGTGAAAATTGATAGATTAACATTATACTTTTTTACAAACCATAATTAATTTTCTAGATGTCTAGATAACTTCTATTAAGAATAATATACTTTTTTATATACTGCCTTGGAAAACGATTATCTCAATGCACTTTGCAGTTAAGTAAAATTACAAAGCCAATAAAACGCTGTAGATGACGCTGAAGATAAGACAAGCACAATCAAATCCTTGATTAAAAAGGTTAATTTGGATGTTAGATAAAAAAAAGCCTCTGGCTGGTTTTGGAGTGGTGTTCTAGAGCAACAATAGGCTCTGTCACCCACGGACGACGGACAAGCAGTGGGAACATGGTAAACCAGAATCTACTGAGAGAAGGTTATGTTGAGGGCAGCAAGCAGATAATGTATCTGCTACATGGCCGTGTAAAGCCTGGGATGCAAGCCAAAGGATTTTAAAATCACCTTAACAACCCCACAAAGTCAGCATGAGGGCTCCAAGACATTAAGGATCTCTTGTGTGTAACTTAGTCAAGATACTAGTGTAGCTTCAGAATTCTCAAGATTTGTAGTATTCAGTGCAGATTTATGGACTCCTGTAGTATACAACAACAATGAGATTTAAAAAACAAAAACAAAATCTGAATCCTATTTCTCTCTACATGTACAGCTAATGATGCAGTCTGGTAGCATTTTGTGGGTGGGGAAAAATGCACTTTACCATGTTACGCATGAGGTTCGGAAGTCAACCCAGGATCAAGGATAACAGTGGTGCTAATAGATTTGACATAAATGATTGGAGGAAGCCAGTCACATTATTTCAGTCCTATCACAAAAAACCCAAGCTTTCATTATAAGGAATGCCATGAGGGAGTACTGAAGCATCTGTAATACATTGGGATTATTGTGGACACCAATTTGAATGTAAGCAGGAACAAAGTTCTTCAGAGAAGATTAGTTTTCATATTACAGGTGCTATGCTTTTAGAGAAATGTGTTTAAGTTAATGGATTAAAAACCGTGAAAGTTAAGAGATGAATGCTGAAACTGAGATGATGTAATTTAGGGGAACACTTCATATCTTTCAAAAGTCGACCAATGATCTAGATTATTTTATAGTTTGTTAAACCTGACTGGTTTACTATGTTACTGAGAACCTAAAAATGCCATCAAAACCAGAAAATGAAATCCAAAACATTAATATAAATTTAAGAGTTGTACTTCTTAAACAATCAAGTTTTGGGTGTTTTCGTTTTTTTCTTTCTTAAAAGCTCAGTGCTTTGTGATAAAATTTTTTTTTTTCCCCACACATTGTGAGTATACGTGCACTATAGTGAGGGCACGTTCTTGATTAGGCCCTTTCCCTTAATTTTAGCGAAGTCCCATGATTTGTGGTGTTCCATATTATGTCCTGTCAGTGGCAGACTGTGTTTGGCTGTTACTGTATATCTTGTAAAAAAAAAAATAATAAAAAAAAATTGCAGGCTATGAACAGCCCAGTAACTTGTCTTTCCTTTAAACTGATGCCAAAAAAGGAGGCAATCATAAACCCTAACATTCATTCAAATAAACCAGATTAATGGACTTTGCCTTGCTAAGTACAAAGGTTTCCTACTGTAAATAGTACCTCATATTTTCCACACCTGTTTTGTTTCTAGATCATATGCCTTTGACATCTTTAAGTTTACTTAAGGAAAACATGGAGCTAAAATTGACCCAGGAGCTCTTAAAAATTATGTTAAGGTAGCACTGTGGCTGTGCTGGCAGTATGAGTATTTCATGGCACTTTCAAATCGCAAAATAGAAAAAACTACTGCAAGCAAAAAAAGAATGCAGTTCAGGTGAGTAGCTGCGTCAGCATGTGTAGGCTGCACACGCCTGAAGAAGGCTCCACAGCCAGAACATTTTCTTTCTTCTTTTTTCAGCATGGAATAAACCTATTACTTTTATCTTTGTTCTAATAATACGTTTGTTGGGAAAACTTGTCAAGGATTGTTTGAGGTGTGTCTGAAATTACGTCAGTACTGACTGGAAATTAATTTTTTAATTCCCACTCAGTCTAATATTAAAATCTAGTGCTGTAAATGATGTACAGATGCAGCCATTCAAAATGGGTGAGGTATTTCGGGGCATACCCCTTTGGGCGTGTCGCGGTATCACGCGGTATCACGCAGTTCACGTGTGTCACGTGACTTACTATCCGGCGTCGCCTTGTAAAACCGCCAGGTTTTAACCTCTCATGTACAGCATTTGAGCCTTTAATTTTGAACTGTGTATTACAGCATGTTAATCATCAGTCATTAAAATGTTGGTATATTTTATGAAAGCAAGATTGTTCAGTTGGACAAA